GAAAGCACCTCTGCTCAACAAGGATGGAGACAGGTAAACCTCAGCATCTGTATATTCCAGCTCGCTTACAGTTTCCTTGATGTTCTTTTGGCTCTTCATGAATCCAAGTTCTCTCGGGGCTCCACTTCTATAACTGATCATATTTTTCGTATATCAGGTAGTTGATGCGCTATGCAATGTCGTATCTGCAACGCCAGCAAAAGCAGCTGCCGCAGTTGTTCTCCAGGTATAAATTTGTCAGGAATACAACACCTGTAAAGGTTAAGAACGGTCAACTGCAGAAAATCTATGGATTGTGTTCACATGCTTGGTGTACATGCTTGAGTCATAACTCATAAATATCATATTATAAGAAAACTAAGCTGGGAGCTTTTGTGCAACACTTGTTTTAATATGTCACCAATAGGAAATAAAGATAAAATTATGTGTACAATGATTATGGCTTATCTACTCATGTGCTTGTTTCAAGCTTATATGTTGAAGGATTTATTTTTATGTTGTGGTATTAATGGTTTTGGATTACCTACAGGCTGAGAGGGAATTGCAGCCTTGGATTGCCAAAGATGATGAAGAAGGTCAGAAAATGTGGAAAATCAACCAACGGATAGTCAAAGTGATGGTGGAACTCATGCGGAATCATGACAGGCCCGAGTCACTTGTGATTTTGGCAAGTGCATCAGATCTTCTTCTACGAGCAACTGATGGAATGCTTGTAGATGGAGAAGCGTGTACTTTACCTCAACTTGAGGTATTATTATGTTGTAGATTGTTCTACTTTGCTTTTCCTCGGGCTAGACTTGAGAATCAGTTTTCTGATTACGCTGAGTTTCAAACTTTTGCAGTTACTTGAAGCCACGGCAAGAGCAATACAACCAGTGCTAGCTTGGGGGCCATCTGGACTAGCAGTGGCTGACGGTTTATCCAATCTATTGAAGGTAAGCATAAATCGAACAGAGGCTATGGTTTCATGTGTTGATTGTAAATGACCAGTATTAGGTCCAAGCAGGTCTAATCTTTGACGCTGACCTGTTTATGTCTTTCTATGCAGTGCCGTCTACCGGCAACAATACGGTGCCTTTCACACCCAAGTGCACACGTACGTGCCTTAAGCACATCAGTACTACGGGATATCATGAACCAAAGCCCCATAACCATCAAGGTAACTCCAAAACCGACAACGACAGAGAAGAACGGAATGCACAGCCCGTCGTATCGGTTCTTCAACGCGGCCACGATAGACTGGAAAGCCGATATCCAGAAATGCTTGAACTGGGAAGCTCACAGCTTGCTCTCCACAACTACGCCTACTCAGTTTCTTGACACGGCGGCTCGAGAACTAGGTTGTACCATATCCTTGTCCCAATAACGAGCACCTCTTTTGTTTTTAATTACTTAGTAGTTCCTCCAGAGCCTAAAACAAATTGGACGTAGACCAAGATGAAGA